GAGAGTCGAGCCGCCCGTTGACCTCGGATGACTGACCGAGCTCCGCGGGGATTCGAAGGGCCACCGCCCACCTCGCGCGGCGCCCCCCCCCCCCCGCCCGCCAGAAGCGAGACAAACTGGCGCCCGCGAAGGCCGAGGGCCTCGCTCGGCCATGGGTAGAATACCACGCACTTCAGCACCGCCAACGCCATTCCCCCGGCAGCCTTCGCGGACGAGACAGTCGCACAGAATTCTTGAAGGCGCACATCGCCCCGGGGAGTCGGCAGCCTTCACGCGCCGGGACACTCCGAAGCCCAGCCGCGCAATTCCTGGCGAGCATCGGGCAGGCGGGCCCCCGCCCGGCGCCCCCACTGCGGACTGAAGCAGGCCGCGGACGCCAGGCGAGACCCCGGGCTAGAGTGCGAGCCCGAGGCAGCACGCGACGCCGCGCCGGCGCCATCGGCATGGCGGCGCCCAGCGAGCTGGCTCTCGACGACTCCGCGCCAGCATCGGATCAAATCTTGCTTCGCGCGCCCCCCGCCGCGCGCCCGGCGCTTCCCGCCGCGGACCAGGTCGGCGCGGGATGGCCCCCGTCCGCGGCGACGCCCGCCACGCTGGCCCGGGAGGGGCGCTGGGGCAACGCCGCGGGGCAGGAGCGCCACCTCCTCGCAGGGCAGCGCCGACGGGCGCTGGCAGCTCTCACCACGATGGAGAATCAGCGCGGCCCCCCCCGCTGGAGACCCACCCCAATGAGACCGAGCAACCAGACACGAGCGCCAGGGCTGCCCTGCGGCGAACCACGCGAAGCACCCCCGGCGCGGGCTCACGAACCCCGCCGAGGACCAGAACGGCGAACATCAGACACTGAGAATGAGAATGCGCGCACGCCACTGCAACCTGCCCCTGGGCATGCGACGCAGCCCCAAAAAGCGGCCCGCGCCTCCGAGAAGGGAATGCTTTCCGGGCGATCTCAAGCTTGCGACCTCATAGTCCTCCGGGAGCCTCCGACTAGGGAACAGGGCACGAAGCCAGCGACCCTGTCCAGCCGGGCGCAGTGGCCCACGCCCTCCGACACGCAAGTCCCCCCTTCTTTCCCGCCCAGCACTTTCGCCCCTTCACTGCGCCCCTGGGCCTGATCACGGGTCCCCTCTCGACCCTCCTTAGACACCCAGACCTCCGAGAAACGCACGGCGTGCCTGACTTCGGCCTCCTGGCCCGCGGCCTCGGCCGCCCCTAGACCCCACCCGGAAGCGTCGGCGGTCAGGGCGCGCGCGCAGGCAGGGGCGCGCAGGTTCCTCAACCAGGACCAGATGCTGTCGGGAGCCAACCAAAACGCACGTCGAACCACATCCCAGACCCCCGCGCCCCCCCCCCCCCGCGACGACGCCCGACGAGAGCGCGCGTCCCGCCCAAGACCGACGGGAGCGCTCGACGAAGAAGAAAAGACAAGTAGTTACCATGGCCCGCCAAGGCCCCCACCTGCCCCCCACTCAAATAGCGAATACGCAAAGCGTGCTGGAGTGCAGAACGAGATCTCAATACTCCTCTATTTTCCGATCACCACTGGACGGTCGCTCGAGTAGGGGCCCGATGACAAGCAGCTCCAGGAACTCCCTGACACCAGTTGAAGTCGCGCATCCATCCGAATTACAGCAACTTCGGCCTCGGGAAGATCCACGCGATCGGGCCAACGGAGGCCCCGTCGACAGCTCAAGAGACTCCTGCGCGGCCTGCTCTGCCCCGGCCGAAACCCAAAAACGGCGCGAGGGGCCCCGGCCTAGCTAGTCTTTCTCGCATGTAAGAAAAGCTTACTTCGAGCGCCGCATCGGCCGCGGATGCGAGCCTGGAAAAGAAAACGACCGGAAGCCCAGCGAGTTCTAGGCGGCTCCTGAATCTGACTAATCGACCCACGAGCGCATATCATTAGACGCTGGGCCCTGTTCTTCTCAGGGGCCGAAATACCCCTGAACTACAATCGCGCATCCCGCGTCGAGGCGAGCCTGGGCGACACGTTCACGCTCGCGAGGGCGGTGGGGGAGGGGGCCGAGGCATGGGCGCCTAGGAAAACCACTCGAGCTCATGCGATCGTTTGCCCGATCCTTCTGCGGGAGGAAGTCCCCAACAAACCCTCGGGCTTCAGCGCGGCCACCCCCCGCGAGGCCCCCCAGGCCCCAACGGGGCCCGCCCCTGAAGCTGGAAGGCCGAGACGGCGCATGCGCAAGGGCGCCTCAGCCGCTGGAACCCCCCGGCATCTGCGGGAGGCCTGCAGCTCTCGAAAGGCCCCCCAGCCCGCTAGGTCAGCGGGGGGGCCCCGCCACACTGGGCGCCAGTCCCCACGCGCCGCTTCACAGAGCACAACAGAGACCCCAGCCACCCCCACGCCGAGCACGCTCTGGAACGGACAAGTGCAGCACATCTCGCTGCGCCGCAAAACTAGCACGATCCTGTCGTAGACCATGCAAATCATAATGTGGGAAGGCCAGCAAGGCGGGGTCGCCCTATGGCCCTGGCTCATCACCCGCCATCCTTGCGCGAGAGGCTGGCGTGCCCCCGCGCCTCCCCCATCTGCTTGGTCACCGCAACGGCCAGTCACCTCCGAGACCCACTCTACATGCTCTTGCATATTATCACTTCCCCGACCAGGCGGTGCGAGCCCGAGAGGCACGCAGCCTCGTCCTGGCTGACACCCTACGCGCGCTCGTTCGCCTTGCCGCCCTTGCTCTTCTTCACGTAGCGAAACTCGATCACCTGGCAACGTCTCGAATGACCTCGAGCCCACCCAAAATCGGGGAGTCGACCTGATCGCACCCTCCGGAAAATGGAGAACCTCATCCCGTACTCGTACTCCTGAACGCCGAAGCCTGTGTCCGTGATTTCGATATGGGACACCCACCAGCGGCGATGGTCCATCGGACCGCCCTCTCGTTGGCCCACGAACCGTACACACCACAGCACCATCCTCGGGCCTGGCATGGGCCAGCGATTGAACTCCACCTGCTGGACCTGCATCGCCACCTCATGTCACCGACGCTATTTGACACCATGGCTGTTGTATTGCACGGTCACCAGACGGGCGTCTGCGCTCGAAGCGGCTGGAGCCTTGGCGGCTATGTAATCCGCTCGCGATTGGTCCGTGCCGAGCCGCTCTACGAAAACCAAGTCCCCCGAAGGACCAGCTGGCAGCAGCGCACGGCGTCCGTCAGAGGAGACAAGGGCGCTCGCGGTCATGGCCACCACGTTGCCCCACGTGGTCCCGAGCGCCGCGTCGGGCATCACTGCCGCCCAGCGACCCTCGGGCGCAGCAGGCACGCAGGCCCCGCGCTTGCTCGCGTGGGGGGGGTCGGTCCCGCGAACCTCCTCCTCGGGCGCGAGGTCGGGGGGCGCCAACAAGGGGAAACCGCCGGGGCCGCGTCGGCCCGCGGGCCCCGCACCGCCTTTGCCACTGGCGAGCGCGCCAGGCGGCAGCGACACACGGCCGCGGCGACGCTCCTCCGCCCCGGCAAGTCCCTCCGCCTGGTCCCGCAGCCTCTCCGGCTGCCGCCCGCGAGGGAAAGCGCCGAAGGCGTAGGTGTTGTCGTCCCCGATCTCAATCAACCGCCGAAAATCCGTCTCCCACGCAACCGCCGCGATGCTCGGGTTCCAGAAGGACTGGAAGTCCTCGATGTAGACGTCCCAGTCAGGCGTCAGGGTAACGTACCCGCCCTGATAGTACCGCAGGTGCGCCAAGATCAACAATTGGTGTCAGCGGCGAGGGCCTGGCACCGCGTACCTCACCCATGCCACGTCCTGCTCCCCCCGTGACGACATGGTCAATGTCGGTCGGGCTCGGCGTGCTCCTTGTCGCGGAGCTCCTCACGCACACGCTCAGCAGCCAGAACGTGCTCACGAGCATACTACCTACCAAGAAGCCCAGCACGAAGGCGATGCACCAGCCTGCCTGGCCTGCGCCCCGACGAGCACTCTCCTGCCGATTCGCACGGCGGGCAGGCAGCACCCTGCGGGCGCTGGGTGGCGTGGCACGCTGGACACTGCAGATTGGGGCACGGGGGGATTGCCAGGCAGCTGAAGGTCGGTTCTTCGCTGCCCACGTACAAGCGGCCTTTGTCACGTGCAACGCGGCCTGCTGCTTCGGAAACAGCCAAGTTCTCTTCCGATGGCAGCAAATCCTCAGGGAAAGTGGCCATGCCAAGCTCAGCAACCCCAGCTTGGCACCGGCGGGCGCCGAAGCAGCCACCCGTACGCCGCTTGCGACGTTCCGTAGACTACTGTCACCAGAAGATCCGATTCCATCCGCCACGCGTCCTGCGCGCGATCAGAGCCTCGAGCCCGTACGGGTTGAGGACACAAAAAGACAGCAAAATGAAGACGCAATCACATTCAACTCTTCAGAACGAGGTGAGAACGCATGCTGCACGGTCGGCCCTCCTAAACGAGCTGTGCTCAAAGCCAGAACGGTATCAAACTCATCTACCAATACTGTCTTAATCAAGAGGACACGCCTGCTGATCCTCCTCATTCTTCCCCTCCTCCTCCTACTACACCTGCTCCTCCTGCTTTCTACGTCTATTCACGTATCCTCCTCCTCCTCCTCCTACTCCTCCTCCTCATCATCATCTTACTCCTCCTCCTCCTCCTCCTCCTCCTCCTCATCCTCATCATCATCATCACCATCATCATCAGCATCATCATCATCATCGTCGTCATCATCATCATCATCATCAGCATCAGCATCAGCATCATCATCATCATCATCATCATCATCATCATCATCATCATCATCATCATCATCAGAATCGCCATCATCAGCATCATCATCGCCATCATCAGCATCATCATCAGCATCGTCAGCATCATCATCAGCATCACCGTCAACATCCTCATCAACATCAAACAACAGTTTCAACCTCCTAATAATCCTGCGTCCACACCCTACTCCTCGTCCTCTCCCTCCCCGTCCGTGCCCTCATTACCCTGCACCTACTCCTGCCTCCGATCCAGCCCCCCGTCGTGTCCCCCAAGGCCTCGCTCTGGCCCGCAGCATGAGCCCCAGCAGGTAAAGTACTCGCCACAGCCTGCTCGCCTTGCGCGGCCGCGCCCCTGTGTAGCACGGCGCCAACCTGCAAACGTCAACCTTGCGCAGAGGGCACCTGCACGCCACCACCACGCCTGACCAGGGTCACCGAGGCCAGGGAGTCGTACGGTCCCGGTCCTATCCTTAGCGTGCAGGTGGGAATACGCCTGGTCGCGCTAAGTGCTCTGCACTTGGCGTGTACCCTGCATGGTTGGTACTGAGCGTGCATATCGGAGGGCTGTCTCGGCCAACCCTACTTGGCGTGTACGTCCCTGCGCTGCTTGGCGTGTCCGCGGCTTCGGTTTCGCAGGGCACGAAATCACATCCACTCTGAGGATAGGACCATGGCCGTATGCACCACCCCGAGTCGACAACACGCCAGAGGGACCGTGCGCAGGAGTGACCTCTGGGTGCGCGGCTCCAAGAAGGCCCGCGGGGGGGGCAGATCCGGGCGCGCCGGCCGTCAGTGCTCGGGGCAGGGACCTCGCGGGCCCGCGCCACGGGTCAATCTGGCGAGGGGTCGCTCGCACGCGTGGCCGACTGCGGCCCAGGACGGCCCTGGCCATATACTGTGCTGGTGCGTAGCTGACTACCTACCAGACCACCCCGACCCAATCCGGAGACCCAAATTTCGGGTTGGGGGGGGGTACGGGATCCACATGTGTGTGTCTTTCAGATGTTCCCCGACGCCCCCACCACTGCAAATGGAGGGCAAACCCGGCCCTTCGGGTTGGATTGGGGTGGTTTGGTGGGCGGTGCATCGCTGCCCTCTGTGAAAACCTCTCGGGAGGAGCCAGCTCTTCCGCCGCATCGGCCCATCCACGGGTGCGGGAAATGCAACATCGGGCAGGAAGGCGGCAGCGCCCGAACACGCGCGAGCGGCAAGCGCGCGATGAGCTCGTCGGGTGGCACCTGCCACGGGCGCGGGCGCGGCGGGCGGGCCCGACGGGCCTCACGACATCCTCGTCTTAGGCGTGATGCGGGGCGCGCACACTCGCAGCGCGCGCGTCCCCTCCTCCTCCTCCTCCCTCCTCCTCCTCCTCCTCCTCCTCCCTCCTCCTCCTCTCCTCCTCCTCCTCCTCCTCCTCCTCCTCCTCCTCCTCCTCCTCCTCCTCCTCCTCCTCCTCCTCCTCCTCCTCCTCCTCCTCCTCCTCCTCCTCCTCCTCCTCCTCCTCCTCCTCCTCCTCCTCCTCCTCCTCCTCCTCCTCCTCCTCCTCCTCCTCCTCCCTCCTCCTCCCTCCCTCCTCCTCCTCCTCCTCCTCCTCCTCCTCCTCCTCCTCCTCCTCCTCCCTCCTCCTCCTCCTCCCTCCTCCTCCTCCTCTCCTCCTCCTCCTCCTCCTGTAGGTATTACCTTTCCCACTGCGAGTAATACGATTCGAACAATTTATCAGCACGAGAATTATTGCTACTAGTTTTACTAGTGGCATTGGTATCCTGATCCTATTATCCCATGGATTACCTTTCGCCCAACTAGTGCTAGCAGTAGCATCCACAATACGCTTCTTAATAACGCAGATCTGGATAAGTACTACGATTACTGATGTGTTTCGTAATCGTGTGTCGGTCCATGTATTACATTTCTTGTTCGTCATAGAATTACGTGTTGCATTCGCACGGGTACTTATCATGATTCCTTATGTATCTCCTCTTCGTGCTCCTTTTCCTCTTCCACCTCCTCCTCCTCTTTCTCCTCCTCCTTCTCCTCCTACTCACCCTCCCCCTCCCCCTCCGCCTCCTCCTCCTCCAGCTCCTCCTTCTCCTCCCTCCGTAGCCATTTTGGCTCAAGTGCTGCGGTCTTCCCCCCGCCTTGCGGCGCGCGTCCAGCCATGGGGGTCTCGAGTGCGGAACTCGTGATCATCGTCGAGGGCGTCATGCGGGGCGCTGCAGGCGGAGGTCAACGTGCAGCGGTGGCTGCGGCGGCGGCGGCGTGTGTCCGCGTGGCGGCGGAAGTGCTGCAGGGTATCGCGGAGCCGTCCGACGAGCAGGTCGAGACGAAGGAAAGGATGAAGGCAATCGAGCCCGTCATCCAGAAGCACGTACAGGCAGGCGGGCGCGGGGTTCGCGCCAGCATCCCTGGAAGCGGCAGGAAGCTGCGCAACCAGGCCTCCCACCATCGCTTTGGTGCTGGGCCTGGCGCATGGCGCGAGGCGTTCCCCCCGACCGTGCAGGACAATGCGGACGAGTGCAAGGATGTGTTGGGTGGCGACTCCCAGGAGAAGATCGAGGACATGCAGGTCATCGAGGAGAAGGAGGTCGCGGCGACCATGAAGCCGCCGATTACCAAGCACGTCGAGAGGTTCGCTCACGGTCCGAAGGTGGAGGCGGACGTGTCGTCGACGCACCTCGTCGAGAAGGACCTCCTGGTGCCGAAGAAGGCCGAGGAGAAGGTGGAGGTGCCGATGCTGGCGCACGTCGAGAAGGACACCGACGTGCAGAAGGCGGAGCATTCGGACCCCTCGGCCGACAAGGTGTGCGACGACATGGTGAAGAACGTCGCAGGCTTCGGGAACAGCGTGGAGGTGCCGAAATTCTTGCTGGGCCTCCCGCCGCGGGCGCAGGAGATTGCCATGGAGGCCATGAAGGACGCCGAGGCCAGGCACCGTGCAAGGATCGGCTACGGCTGGTCAGGTCGCGGCGCTCGTCGGCCAGGTCGGGGTCCTGTTCTCGGGAGCTCAGGCAGGTCGCGTTCGTCTTCGACGGCCGCGGGGTGATGGTCTGAGCTCGCGCGTTCGGGGTGTGGAGGCTCGTGTTCCTCCTGCGCCCCGCGAGTTGCGGAGGCTCGTGTTCCTCCTGCACCTCGGCTCGGTGCGGAGGCTCGTGTTCCTCCTGCACCGGGCGTGCTTCCCTGGCGGCGCGGAGGCACCTGTTCCTCCTGCGCCGCCTGGGCTCGATGTTTAGGGGTGCGGAGGCTCGTGTTCCTCCTGCGCCTCGGCTCTGTGCGGAGGCTCGTGTTCCTCCTGCACAGGGCGCGCTGCCCTGGACGTGCGAAGGCTCGTGTTCCTTCTGCACTCCAGGGGCCTCTGGACAGGGACTGGGTCCCCATGGGTCACTCCTCGGTCACTCCTCCTTCTCCTCCCTCCTACCATCCTTGTAGTGAGCTCCTCACTGTCGCACCCCAAGGCCGGTCGAGAGGGCGGGCCCAGCGTTTCGCCTGAGACTTCCTCACCGTTTACGATCCTGACGTTCAAAAAAGTCAAAATGGGGCCTTCGCGTTCACAGTGTGGCTCTCGCATTAGTACCGCACACACTCGACCAAAAAAATTACCGAAGCTTCACGGATGAAGGGCGGGTCGTTCTCAATATGCGGCTCTCACCCAAACGCCGCACAGGTTCATCTTAAAAGTTTACAACAGTTACACGGATGGAGGGCGGTTCCTTTTGAAAATGTTGTTCTGGCCTTAATGGCGCGCACATTCGTCTGAAAAGTTCGTGGCAGATTCAAGGATTCTCATGTCCAACCTCCCAGAAATTGTGTTTTGGCACGATGTCTGAATGTCAGGGCGCAACAGTCAAGGTGATTCACAGTGCTGAATCCCACGAACGGTGGTCTGGCACGGTACAAGATCGTCAAAACGCAACCATCACGGTGATTCGCGGCTTTGAAGTTCCAGGAATGGGTTTCTGGCACCAGTGCAAGATTTTCAAACGGTTGTCTTCCAACAGGACAGTTTCTTCTGTGAGAATGAACCCTTGTAGTGACCGATGGGGGAACTTAGAGGGAGGGTGAATTGCAATATCATTGATGAGCTTGGGTTTACACTGGTCATCATCATCCTCCTCCCTCCTCCTCCTCCGCCTTCTCCTCCTCCTCCTGCTCGTGCTCCCCCTCCTAATCCTCAACCTCCTCCTCCTTTCCTCCTCCTTCCTCGTTCATTAAAACCCTTGCTGTGTCGCACCCCAAAACGTGTTGAAGGGGCAGGCCGGGGCGTTTCGCCTGAGCCAAACCACTTCCGATCCTGAGTGTTTCGCTGGCGCCGCGCACATTCGTCCGCAAAGCTTGCAACACTTACAAAGTTAGAGGGTGATCACTTGTTCAAAATGGCTGTTTGCCTGCGCGCCGCGCACAGTTGTCATCAAACCATGGAAAGCGGTACGTTTCCAGAATGAGACATCTGCCTTCAAGCGGCGCGCAGTCGTCTTGGGCTACGACGATGGGAGGCGGGTCCTTTTCAAAATGGGGCCCTCGCCTAAGCGCCGTGCACACTGGGGAAAATACAACAACTGCCAGGGAAGGGAACTGCTATTTCTTCAAGCGGGGGTTCTGGCATGCGACTGCCTCGGGCCTGGCAACCACGAACTTGCAAATACTTAGCAGCTGCCAGAATAAAGGTCGGGGTGCTTCAGAAGGAAGTTCTCGCTTGGAAAATCTTCGCATTGCATGGCCGGACGTGCAAACTTGTGTCACCGCTACACAAATGGAGGGGGTGGTTACTTGTCACACGGGGCTCTCGCTTTTATGTTGCTCCCATCGTACTCAAAAACCACATCCCAGAAATAATTTCGAGCACCCGGAAAAGTGTCGAAAGAGTGTCGAAACAGTGTCGAAACAGTATCGGACGAGTGTCTCCCAGGGCCCGACACGTGAAAACCCTCGAGCTTCGGTACATTATGGTGCTCGAAGTTCTCTCTGGTGGCCAAAGCTCAAGCAGGTTGGAACATCCTAATTCGCGCTGGAAGCCACTTACCTTTTCCCGCGTTCTTTACCAAAAGTGTTGGCACTTCCTGGGTGTTGACTGTGGCCCCCATCATCCACGACACCATGCCCTTCCTATCCCCATCCTCCTCTCACTCCGCCTCCTCCTCCCCCTCCTCCTCCTCCTCCTCCTCCTCCTCTTCCTCCTCCTCCTCCTCCTCCTCCTCCACATCATCATCATCCTCATCCTCATCCTCATCCTCCTCATCATCATCATCCCACGCATCATTTCTATCCCCCTTCTGCCCCATGTCTCTTCCGCCTTCATGTCCGCCTCCTGCCCCGCCGTCATTGACATCCCTTATCCTCGTCACAAACCCGTCACATCATCGCGGATGTTATCACGCCCGTTAATCATGTGCTCCTTCCTCGCATCGATCAACACAACCCATCCCCGTCATCGTCATCATCGCCCTCTGGCTTGCCATCGCTTTCCTCATCCTCATGATAACCAGCATTGCCACCACCCTGACCACCACCATCACCACCATCAGCATCATCATCACCACCATCACCACCACGCTCCTCTTCGCGGTTACAAGCATCACCATTTTCACTGTATCACCAACATCACCACCACACTCACCGCCACCGTCAGGACCACAATCATAGTCGTCATCATCAGCATGATCATCACCACTACCACCACCACCACCAGCATAAGCACCATCATCAGCATCATCATCATCATCATCATCATCATTATCATCGTCCTCATCAGCATCATCATAAGCATCGTCATCGGCATCAGCATCAGCATCGTCATCAACATTATCATTATCACCAGCAGCATCACCACAATCGTCATCAAAATCGTCATCAAGCACATCACGATCACCATCATAATCACCATAGCCCCTCCATCATGCTCCTATCTCGTCTTCCTCTCTCTGCGTATCCTCATCCTCCTCTGGCGGGCTCGCGCTTCGCCCACACCACCCACTGTGCACGAGGGAGGGCCGCGGCGACGAGGCGGCGAAGCTCGACGACACAATCCAGAAATGCTTTTGCCGCTGCCACCCATGCAGCCTCGCCAGCTAGTTCGTCGACCTTCGTTTCCCGCCCGTCCCCTGCTCACCAGGGAAGAGAAGGAGTGACTGAACGGCGGGACGGTGCTGGGGTGTGGGCACCTCCTCATCCTCCTCGTCAGCCTTGTCCTCCTCCTCATCCTCCTCTTCATTCCCATCCTCATACTCCTCCTCCTCCTCCTCCTCCTCCTCCTCCTCCTCCTCCTCCTCCTCCCTCCTCCTCCTCCTCCTCCTCTTCCTAGTCCTCCGCCTCCTCCTCCTCTTCATCCTCCTCCTCCGCCTCCTCCTCATCTGACGTACCCTCCTCATCCTCATCGTCCTCCTCCTCGGCTTCTTCGTCTTCCTCCTCATCCTCGTCCTCCACATCCTCCTCCTCCACATCATCCTCCTCCTCCTCCTCCTCCTCCTCCGCCTCCTCTTCGCCTCCTCCTCCTCATCCCCCTCCTCCTCCTCCTCTTATCCTCCTCTCCCCCTCCTCCTCCTCCTCCTCCTCCTCCTCCTCCTCCTCCCTCTCCTCCTCCTCTCCTCCCTCCTCCCCTCCGACCCCGATTCCGACCCTTCTCCTCCTCATATTCCTCTTCCTCCTCCTCATCCACCTCCTCAATCTCTCATCATCATCATCATCATCATCATCACATCATCATCATCATCATCATCTCCATCATCATCATCATCATCATCATAATAATCATCATCATCATCATCTCATCATCATCATCATCACATCATCATCATCAGCATCGTCACATCATCATCATCATCATCATCGTCATCATCATCATCATCATCACCATCATCATCATCAGCATCATCATCATCAGCAGCAGCAGCATCATCATCGTCATCATCATCATCATCATCAGCAATCAGCATCATCATCATCATCATCATCATCATCATCATCATCATCAGCATGGTCATCATCCATCATCAGCAGCAGCATCATCAGCATCATCATCAGCATCATCATCATCATCAGCATCATCAGCAGCAGCATCATCATACTCATCAGCATCGTCATCATCATCAGCATCATCATCGTCATCAGCATCATCATCAGCATTATCATCATCATCATCATCATCATCAGCATCATCAGCATCAGCATCATCATCGTCATCATCCTCATAATCATCATCATCATCATCATCATCAGCATCATCATCATCATCATCATCCGCATCGGCATCAGCATCAGCATCATCAGCAGCATCAGCATCAACATCATCAGCCGCAGCATCAGCATCATCATCGGCATCAACATCAGCGTCAGCGTCATCAACATCATCATCATCATCAGCATCATCAGCATCATCATCATCAACATCAGCATCATCATCATCATCAGCAACAACATCAGCATCACCAGCATCATCATCAGCATCATCACCATCATCGTCATCATCATCATACTCGTCATCATCATCAGCATCATCAGCATCATCAGCATCAGCATCATCATAAGCATCATCATCATCAGCATCATCATCAGCATCAGCATCAGCATCAGCATCATCAACAGCATCAGCATCGTCATCATCATCAGCATCAGCATCATCAGCATCATCAGCATCGTCATCAGCATCATCATCATCGTCATCAGCGTCATCGATATCAATACCATCATCAGCATCCGCATCATCATCCACATCATCACCAGCATCATCATCGTCATCAGCAGCATCAGCATCGTCATCATCAGCATCAGCATCATCATCATCACCCGATGTCCCCATCCTCTTCTTCTTAATCGTCCTCCGCATCCTCCTCCCCCTCCTCCTCCTCCTCCTCGTCCTCCGCCTCCTCGTCGTATTCCTCCTCCTCCTCATCATCATCCTCTTCCGTCTCCTCAGCATCCTCTTCCTGTTCCTTTTCCTACAGTTTGTCCTCCTCCTCCTCCTCGTCCGTCCCTCCCTCCCGCCCTACGTCCCTCCCTCCTGCCCCCCCTCCTTCCGTCCCGCCCACCTGCCCTTCCGCCTTCCCTCCTCCCTCCTTCCCCCCTTCCTCTGTCCCTCCCTCCCCATCCCTCGATACATTCCGCCATCCCTCCCCTCCCCCTCTCTTCACTCCTCCATCCTCCCTCCTCCCTCCTCCCCCATCCCCCCCCCCCTTCCCTCCTCCCTTCTACAGCCTCACCCCAGATCCTCCCTCATACCTCGTGCCTCGTACCTCCTACGAAATACATCCTACCTCATACAGCCTACAGTCCACCTCCCACCTCATACATCATACATCCTACCTCATACCTCCTACCTCGCACATCCTCCTCCTCTCCTCCTCCTCCTCCTCCTCCTCCTCCTCCTCCTCCTCCTCCTCCTCCTCCTCCTCCCTCTCCTCCCCCCCATTCGTCTTCCTGTGTTCCTTCGTAGTCTTCGTCATAGTATTAATATTAGTCTGCTTGTTGTTGTGGTTATTCATATTAGTGGTCTTATTCGTCGTGTTAGTGCTAGTATTCCTCTGGTTCGTCATCTTATTAATATTGTCGTTAGGCTTCGTACTATTAGTAGTGGTCGCAGCCGTAGTCTTATCATTATTATTCGTACTAATAGTATTAGCACTCGGCTTAGTATTAATATTCGTGTTCTTAACTCTCGTATTATTATTATTAGTGTTCGAGGTTTGCGTATTAGTGTTCGTATGCGTCGTATTAGTCGGAGTCTTCTCATTATCCGTATTAGCATTCGTATTATTGTTGATAGTATGTGTAGTCGTAGTCGTCGCCTTATCAGTATTCGTATGGTCCTGTTTCTTCATATGCATAGCATTCGCATTAGTAGTCGTAGTATTAGTGTTACTCGTATGGTTAGTAGTGTCCTTCTGCTTATCATTATTAAGTGTATGTTTAGTATTCTTAGTATTGTTATGATTCGTATTATTATTTGTCTTCGTCTTATTACTAGTACTGATCTTCGTTGTAGTATTGTTCTTATGAGTCCTCTTCCTCTTCATCTTCCTCATCCTCCTCCTCATCTTCCTCCTCCTCCTCCTCATCATCATCACCACCACCATCATCATCGGCGCCCGCCCAGCGATGCGTCGGGCGCCCCCTCGAGCCTGGAAGACTTGAGCCAAGGGGCTACGGCACTGGTAGGGACTCGCGAAGCGTCAACCATGTTTCCTCCTCCTCCGACTCCGACTCCGACTCCTCCGACTCCTCCGGCTCCTCCGACACCTCCGATTCCTCCGACATCTCCTCCTCCTCCTCCTCCTCCTCCTCCGACTCCGACTCTGACTCCGACTCCTCCGACTCCCGAGACTCCTCTCTCCTCACTCCTCCGTCCTCCCTCATACATCCTACCTCCTCCCGCATACCTCCTACATCCTACCTTCTACCGTCTCCTACCTCCTCTCTCATACCTACCTCCCTCCTCCTACCTCCTGCATCATACATCATGGCTCCTACCTCATACCTCCTCCTCATCATCATCATCATAACCACCACCACCACCACCATCATCATCATCAGCAGCAGCATCATCATCAGCAGCATCATCCTCCTCATCCTCCTGATGCTCCTGCTCTTCCTGTTCCTCCTCCTCCTCCTCATCCTCATCCTCCTCCTCCTGCGACTCCTCCTCCTCCTGCGACTCCTCCGACTCCTCCGACTCCTCCCTCTCCTCCGACTCCTCCTCCTCCTCCTCCTCCTCCTCCTCCTCTCCTCCTCCTCCTCCTCTTCCTCCTCCTCCTCCTCCTCTTCCGACTCCGACTCCGACTCCGACTCCGACTCCTCCTCCTCCTCCTCCTCCTCCGACTCCGACTCCGACTCCGACTCCGACTCCTCCTCCTCCTCCTCCTCATCCTCATCCTCCTCCTCCTCCACCTCCACCTCCACCTCCATCTCCACCTCCACCTCCTCCTCTTCCTCTTCCTCCTCCTCCTCCTCCTCCGCCTGCTCCTCCGATCCTTCTCCTTAACCCCGAGGCAAGTTGTTTAGGACGGGCCGGGCGTTTCGCCCGAGACTTCCTCGCCATTTATGATCCTGGGGCTTAACAAGTGACAACAGCTTCACTGATGGAGGGCGGGTGGTTTTCAAAAATTTACTCTCGCCTTAGCGCCGCGCACATTCGTTTTCAAAATTTGCAAGAGCTTCACGGATTGAGGGCGGTTCCTTTTCAACATGTGGCTCTCGCCTTAGCGCCGCGCACATTCTTTGTAAAAACATGCAAGGGCTTCACGGAGTGAGGGCGGAAGGTTTTCAAAGTGTGGCAATCGCATTAGCGCCGCGCACGCTAGTTTTCAAACATTGAGAGAGTTCCACGGATTGAGGGCGGGTCCTTTTCAAAATGTTGTTCTCGCCTTAGCGCCGCGCACATTCGTTTAAACAGATTGCACGAGTTTCACTGATTGAGGGCGGGTGGTTTTCAAAAAATTACTCTCGCCTAAGCACCGCGCGCATTCGTTCTCAAAATTTGCAAGGGCGTCACGGCTTGAGGGCGGTTCCTTTTCAAATTGTGGCTCTCGCCTTAGCACCGCGCACATTCTTTGCGAAACATTGCAAGAGCTTCACGGATGGAGGGTGGCTCCTTTTCAAAATGTGGCTCTCACCTTAGCGCCGCGAACCTTATTTGTAAACACATGCAAGAGTTTCACGGGTTCCTATGATCAACGTACCAAAAGTTGTGACTTGGAAGGATTCTTGATGCTGGTGCAACAGGTCTGTTGATTCGTGGTGTTGAATCCAAGAATATGGCACGAATCCCGCTCGCCAAAACGCAGCAGTAAGGTTGATACGTGGCGTTGAAATCGCGAGGACAATGTTTTGGCATGCGTCGGGATCTTCAGACGGTTGTCTTCCAACGAGGCAGTTCCCTCAATGAAAATGAACCCTTGTAGGGGCCTATGAGGAGGGAGCTTGGAGGGAGGGTAAATTCCAACATCGTTGATGACTCTTGGGTTTACACTGGTCCTCCTCCTCCTCGCCCCCGTGGCCTGCTGCGCGAGCCGCCGCGCCATCGCGGCCCACTCGTCCGCGTCGACGCTCTGGAGCGGCAGGCCCTACCACCAAACCCTTCTGGCTGCAAGCAGTGGCCCCAGGTCAGGAGGAGAGGGAGGAGGAGGAGGAGGAAAAGTACGAGCAGAAGGGGAGGGAGAGGAGGAGGAGGAGGAGGAGGAGGAGGAGGAGGAGGGAGGGATGAGAGAGGGGAGGAGGAGGAGAGTGGCCCCCAGGTCAGGAGGAGATGGGGGAGGAGAAGGAGGAAAAGTACGAGGAGTACGAGCGAGAAGGGAGGGGCAGGAGGAGGAGGAGGAGGAGGAGGAGGAGGAGGAATGAGTAGTAGGGAGGATTAGGAGGAGGAGGGGTGATGAGTATGAGGACTAGGGGGGGAAGGAGGAGCAGGAGGAGGAGGACAGGAGGAGCAGAAGGGGAGAGAGCATCGGACCGCGGAAAAACTCGTCCACGCACTATCGTCCAGGATGCGGCAGGGGCGAGTGGAGCACCAGCGCTGCGGGGGGAGAGGAGGGAGGATGAGGAAGGGAGGGAGGGAAGGAGGGGGTGGAGAGTGAGGGATGAGGATAAGGAGGAGGAGAAGGAGGAGGAGGAGGGATGAGGAACCGAGGGAGGAGGAGGAAGAGGACGAGGAGGAGGAGGAGGAGGAGGAGGAGGAGGAGGAGGAGGAGAAAGAGAGGGGGGAAGGAGGGAAGAGGGGGAGGCGAAAAACTAGGGGGCGCGCGCCATATCGTACATCATACCCTGGATGGCGACTTTTGTCAACGTTCGGCATGCCTTCTTTTTGCGCGCCGTCGCCCAATTGCCGACTTCGCGGAACTTCATGAGCTGCTCTGCGCCTCGTGTTGCACGTTGGATGTAGTCACCCGCGGTCCTGCAAGGTCCAAAGTTGGTGATGTCGTCGTCGCTCTCGCTGCTGTGAGTTAGTGTCGAAGCTGCCCCGTGCTGAAACCTCGTACAAAGCATCAGTGCGAGGCGCGGGAGATTTGGGCCCGTCTGGAATAAGCCGTCGGCGAAGCGCAACTTGGCAAGCGTCGTGTCGTGAATCCGCACTGGGCTCCTGTGTCGTTCCTCTGCCAGTCAGTGATCAGTGACGCCAGGATGTGTGTAGAAGAGCGTTGAACAACAAAGAACTGAGTGGGTGGCCTTGCCTAGTGCCGCGCAGGAAACTGAACGGTCTTCTAGCGACGGCAGTGATTGGCCGTGGCAGCCTGACAAGCGTATAATTGCGTGAGATACGTGCACCCTCGTGGGGAGTCCGAAAGGTACCGATACCGCTACTCCCTGGACCTCTCCCGGGGTGCGTTCTAACCAGAATTCCGAGGCGAATCCGACGGTGTCGACGAGGGCCTCCGAGGAGGCGCAAAAAGGGGGAAACGCAGCGCTGGCCGCGTCGTTCCCTTCCTCCTCCTCCTCCTCATCCTCCTCCTCCTCCTCCTCCTCCTCCTCCTCCTCCTCCTCCGCCTCCTCCGCCTCCTCCTCCTCCTCCGCCGCCTCCGCCTCCGCCTCCGCCTGCGCCTCCGCCTCCGCCTCCGCCTCCGCCTCCGTCTCCGCCTGCGCCTCCGCCTCCGCCTCCGCCTCCGCCTCCGCCTCCGCCTCCGCCTCCGCCTCCGCCTCCGCCTCCGCCTCCGCCTCCGCCTCCGCCTCCGCCTCCGCATCCGCCTCCGCCTCCGCCTCCGCCT